CTACGCGTCGTGGTTTCCTACGCTCCTCTCGTGTTCTCTCAACATCCCGCGTGTTTTGATCAGAGTATCAAACACGGGGAAAACTGTTTTTGATCTGTTAAATCTTTAATCGAATTTTCCTTATTTTCTTTTGGTAGATATTGACGAATGTGAACCAAAAATAAAGCGTTGTTCCCAGTATTGTAACAACACAGTAGGCAGTTATAAATGTTGGTGTAAGAACGGATTCAGGCTGGATAAGGACCTCATTACGTGTGTGGGTGAGTGGTTACGTCATATGTACTTTAGCGACGTGGTCTTCCAGGATGTCACGTGACCTTTCCTAGTGGTCACGTGGTCTTGTTCACAGTCTCGTGACCTTTCTAGGAGATGAAGTGATCTTCCCGGTAGCTTGTCACCGGCGTTATTTGTGTTGTAATGATTCACTAAGGTCGGTTGCGAACCATGTCACTTTTGTTTCTGGGTTGATCACGTGATTGTTGGCCATATTGAAAAGAGTAGTTAATATTTCTATCCCCACCCCACCCTACCCCAGTAGTGCACGAGGCCGCACTACCCTGATAGTAAGTATAACACAGATTACAGTCACTCGCTCGACTCAGGAACCTGAGGAATCTCGCGAGTGAACTGCGAACATTTTTTTCCATAGACGTGGATGAGTGTATGGAGTTGACCTATCAATGTTCAGACCCATCGCAACTGTGTCGAAACACCGAGGGAACGTACAAATGTGCATGCGGCGAGGGCTTGTACTTAACGAAGAACAACACATGCAGAGGTAAGAATCGATAAGAAATAGTCCTAAATGTAGGACAGTTTTCGTAATTCCATTAGAGGAAGACAAACGCAGCGCGTACGTAAATCTTATCGATACCCTAAAGCATCTCCTGAGCTGATCAAATTCATGGCACGGCTAACTCACAGATCGAATTAGAATTTTGAAATTGAATTGTTTCAATTGTATGTTCCAGAGATCGAAGGACCAATTTCCCCCGAGAAACCTGACCCTCCAAAACTCCCTACGGAAAACGAGAGAAAAAATTCAATCAATATAACAGTGCAAGACTTGAATGTTGATAAGGTATGTTCAGTTTGGTCCATATCTGTAGTGAAAATTTACCTATTTACACTATATGTCACAAATCTAACAAACAGTCCCTTTCACAGTTCCCTGCGCCATCTGTGAATAGCTGCTTATACACGAGGCTAAGCCTGTAAAAATGAGTCTGTGGTCTTCAAAAACAGCGGTATGCATCGAATGCGAAACTGGTGTATTAATGGTTGCGGCTTTGTTTCTTTTTAACTAGTGGTACAAATCGCTGGACAAGAGCTTCAAGGACGCTGTTGCTAAAGCTGTGACGTACTACTGCGCAAATAAAGATGAGGACTGCAAGAAAGAACGAGAACGTGAAAGGTCTTTCATTTAATATTACTTTTTACGTTTTTCGGATTTTTTCATTACTGAGATTTTATAATTTTAAGTGGGAGAGGTGTGGGAAGTGCAGTGGGGTAAGCGTGTGGAAAGGCCGGAGAACTTACATAGTACTGAGAACATCTACGTATTCTATAGGCCTTTTAAGTCTTGACGTATTTCTGGGTCCATTCACACAAAAAATTGCTAAAATGTTGCCACAACTTATTCCCAGGATTTATTCTCTACCTTCAACAATTAGATACAGAAAAAATTTGGTCTATTATAAAGAAAAAACACAAAAAATGTTTGATAGATGTGTTGATCATCACAGTTAATGAGCGATCTAAGCGAACGCTGTAAAGAAAGACTTGAAAAAATGATTTCAAGCTTCAACGGGAATCGAACCCATGACCTCCGCGATGCCGGTTTGATGCTCCACCAACTGAGCTATGAAGCCAATCCTGTTTGTGAGCGGTCATCTTTGTTGGGTTCATCAAGCCACTATATGTAATAAGTGTGAATATTGAATGGGTGGAACTGTGGTGAAATAATGATAGGTGTGTTGATCATCACAGTGAATGAGCGATCTAAACGAACGCTGTAAAGAAAGACTTGATCACCACAGTGAATTTTTTCATTTTTTTCAAGTCTTTCTTTACAGCGTTCGTTTAGATCGCTCATTCACTGTGATGATCAACACATCTATTTTCACCACAGTTCTACCCATTCAATATTCACAGAAAATGTTTGTAGAAGTAATTACTAAGTTGGACCCGGAAGTGGTTTTTCGTTCGAATTACGCTTAACAGCTTTATTGACGTTCTATCTATTGCATTAGGCGTGATTCATTGTATTTTTATGAATACGTTACATCGACTGCTCGCTACGTAGGCTTTCCCATGGAAAAGCGTTATTTCCATCGTCGCCATGTTTGGTAACCGTTAACTAAACGTGGCGGGTGTCTCTTCTGTTAATTCACTCTCTATGGCTCTTGAGGACGATCGAGACCCACCAATATTGCTACGGCTCCCTTATCAAAGAGAAGGGGCCGGAAGCAAGAGGCAAGAGGATGGTAACGAGTTTACCACTCTCGTCTCTTACTCAAGTTAGACTTGATTAAGATCATGGGTTAGGGGCTATTCAAGCTTTACAATAGCTTCTCTAACGTGGGAGTTGCTATGGGTATAGTCCAGACGCCGTACACTCTCCTTTACCTCTCCGCTTTTGTTCCGCGACACAGGAAGCCCAAAAACAAAAGTGGAGCGGTAAAGGAGAGGGTACAGCGTCTGGACTACTATATGTACTGAAAAGACTAACGCTATACGACTTACCTAACATTCTCTTCTCTGAACCAGCTAAGCGTTCCCCCCAAAGTTTTATTACTCAATCCTTGAATTAAGTTTTTTCGGGGGATTATTTTTCAGACGAGCTTTAGACTACGTTCTCTACACCGCTGACCAGGTTCATTTGCTGCCCGATTTTCCAAAGCAAATCAACCTTAGATCACGTGAACTGGCTGCTGTCATTGCTTTCTACGTGGAGTTTCCTCCTGAAGTCGTTTCTACATCAGGAGATTCCATAGAGGGTGGAATACTGGTGGAAATCGTACAATTTGCTAAGAAGGACATCGAGAAATCTTTGAATAGAACCATTAGTAGCATTACTTCGAATAAGAAAGAAGAACCTTCGATCACGGAAGAGCCAGAAAAGTTGAATATTTACGTTATTATCGGTGTGTCAGTTGGTGCTGTGGTGCTTCTTGTTATCATTGTCGTTCTTGTCAGAAGGTAAGTTTGGACGCGACGTTTTAACTGTCTATACTTCATTCTTTATTCTGTAGTTTGATCCTCGTAGATTTTTTAGTCACATTCATCTCATATTGGCTCTGCTCGTCCTCCTCTCTTGCTGTCTCACTGTCTCAATTCATCTTTCTGCCAGTCTCTACCTATCTTCTTATCCTTCTGTATCCCTGACATTGTCAGTGCATTGTCAGTTCTGCCTCTCAGCCTATATTTCTCCTTTATATTTTTCTGTTTTGTTCTTTCTTCCATTGACATTTTCTTCTGCACTTTTTTTCGTCTTCCTTTCTTCCCTGTCCTCTCTTTAATTTCGAAAATCAACCTTCATTGCCTGTGTCTTGTTTTTCCATTATTCATGATTCAAGCTTTACCGTTTTTCCTTGAATTCAGATTCGCATGCACGAAAAGACCACAAGAAAACACTAAGCGAGTAGGGTCATCACCTGGTATCAATAACCAGTCCTTTAATCCCATGGGTGAAGGTGAAGGTGAAGGTGAAGGTGAAGGTGAAGGTGAACCTATCGAATTACGTCCAGTTTCGATGGAGAACGCACTCGAAGATAGCGGTAACCAATACGTAGAGATTGGCAGGGATAATCCTGATGTAGATCATAGCGATGTAGCTGAGAAGCCCCAGTCCGATGTGACGTTTTCCACACAAGCAGAGTATAGCGAGATTCCTGCGAAACCTGGTCTTGAAGGCCATTACGAGGAAACCTGTTAAAGACGAGAAGAACAGTGAGATAGCTGCGAAACCCGTAGGTACAGTAGAGAAGAAAGATTTGTAGTTTAGATTTGCTGCGCCCACTAGCTTGATGATTTAGGTACAAAGTAAAAAAGCTGTAGCTTTTCTTTCGTCATTCCGATAAAAAGTGATGCAGAAGATTTAGTAAGGCTGTGAAAAAATTATGATGTACGGACTGAGCTGTGCTGTGACCGTGACCGATACAGTAATGTGACCGTTATATTAACGTGACCGATACAGTAACGTGACCGATACAGTAACGTGACCGATACAGTAACGTGACCGATACAGTAACGTGACCGATA